TGGGCCACGCCCACTATCCTGGGCCTCGCCCACTACAACGACCCCGCCACTCCAGGCCCCGCCTGGCTTCGAGCCCCGCTCGGATATATATCTGTTTCACTTAGGCCTCGCTTGTCACAGGGCCTCGCCCGCCAACAAATAATAACACATAAACATATCACAACACGTAAGCTAAACTCATACGACTGATCCTGTCCTAAGGCCTCGCCTATCCTGGGTCTCGCCCTTGTCCTGCTACTGATGAGTCCTAAAACTCCCGTGCCAACTGCTGCACCTCAATAACTGGCGAAAACTCCGCCCTGAACCTGACCGAGAAATCCCTCCAAGTCATCGCGTCCAACGCGGCATCATTCCCCAGAGCGTGACCAATCTCCTCCCACCAATCCCTCGCTCTGTCCTTCAGAAGACAGGAAGCGAGTCTGACCTTGTCCTCCTCAGGACACTGCCTCGTACGGAACGCGTTGGCAACATCAGCCAACCATTTGCTGCTAGCGATGGGGTCCCTATCCCCATGATAATCTGGTGCCCCGCAAGCCCTGAACTCCTGAAATGTCAAGGTACGCGCCCCCATCAAAGCCATCATCTCGGTACGGAAGGCTCCCAGCCTCTCATCCAAAATCTCCAGTATACCTTCCTTGACCGTGCCAAAGATCATAGGAGACTGGTCTAGTATTCTGCGTGTAACCACAGCTGATATCAACTCCCTCATCCGCTCCTCGAGCTGCTCGGCTCCTAAACCCGAGCCTGATCCCTCTCCGGTGCCTGACCCGCTCACTGGTCTCTTTCGCAACGTCACCATGCTGAAATATATGACACAACCACTATCAGAATACTCATCACTATTGCGAGACCAAACACACGCACTACCAGGTCCCCGGTCTTGTCTCGGCCTTTCCTGAATCGAGTACGGATCCTCTGCTTTCAGTAGTACGGGCCCATACTACCTTCCACATCTATCCATACTTTCCTCAAGAACTGCTTCGACTCCACCATGTCCCTGTTCTACTACTACTGCTCCCAGCACTACCTCATCCTAGGCTTACCCTAGGGAAACCTCTGACTCAACTCAAACCAGTCCTCAGCTGCTGAAGGTCTCCTTGTGATGCTAATTAGCCATCACCTGGATACCGTCACATGTGATGAGGCTCAGATAATCCTTCAAGTAAAAGACTTGTCCTTATAACGGTTGGACTCAAACAAGAGCTGCGCAATAGGACCAAACCCAACACTCTGAGATTATTCAACCCTGATTACATGTGACGTGTTGTATCCACCTAATGGCTAACTCCCATAACTCAGAATCCCACAATTCACAAAGCAAGCATCATTCAGACAAGGGAAAATATAACCATAACATACTCAAACAATCATATCAACATAGCAAGAATCTGAACTAACATGCAACACAAACTCATAAACTCAGGCATAACCTAAACATGCTATCCTACTACTATCTAGTCAGCACTATTATGCAACTCAAAGCACATATAACAGGCACATAAGGCATCCTCCCTAGACCATTAGTCCTAATCTAGCATGATGTTCTATTAACCGATATTCATAACATAAAATTGTATGGGTATTTTGGGGTACTTACTTGAGCTCGGTTGATTGCATGCACCACACCTCTTTTCTCTTTTCAAAGTTCTTTTCTTTCTGAATTCTTTTTGCTTTTCTAAAACTGTTTTCTTTCTTAAAACTTTCTTTTTACAATCTGAATTTTCATTTTGAAAACCTTTATACCAATTCCTCAGTTTGAGTTCAGACACACCCGAGAGCATGTCCGAATCCCTCAAACCAAGGCTCTGATACCAACTTGTAACGACCCAAAATTTAAGACCAAAAATTTCTTTTAATAAAACATTACTTAAAGCAAAATCATCAATCCAAAACATAAACAGAGTATTAATTTCCAAAACACATGTTCGTTATCAGAGTAAAACATTTCCAGGCTGTCTAATCAATGGTGTGTGCCATGCAATCACCCCGAGCTCTTCCCTCCGCTACCGGAAGTACCTGAAACCAAAACTGAAAACCGTAAGCACGAAGCTTAGTGAGTTCCCCACCCTACCACATACCATGCATAACCACATACTGCATATACGGGGCCACGCCCACTATCTTGGGCCTCGCCCCCTGCCTTGGGCCTCGCCCGCTACAACGGACCCGCCGTTCCAGGCCCCGCATGGCTTCGAGCCCTGCTCGGATACATATCTGTTTCAATTAGGCCTCGCCTGTCACACAGCCTCGCCTGCCAACAAATAATAACACATAAACATATCACAACACGTAAGCTAAACTCATACGCCTGATCTTGTCCTAAGACCTCGCCTATCCTGGGCCTCGCCCTTGTCCTGCTACTGATGAGTCATGGAACCCCATCCACGCTCCTACTGGTAGTGAGATACGGGCCTAGCCCACTCTCACTCCTTCCCTAACTTGGGCCTTGCCCCTGTTCTGCTACTAATGAGATGTGGAACACCATCCATACTCTATTATTGGTAAGATATAGGACCTCGCCCACACTTACCTCCCTACCAGGAACATACATGTATCACACAAACAACAAGTATAAACTATCATATAAACAACTCCTTGGGCACCTGCCCGCTATTAATGGACCTCGTTCTGAATATCATACTAGCATACTGTGCCTAGAGCTAACCCTCGGGCCTTCTATTCATAACTACATGGGCCGGTATTGTGGCCTTAGACCCATTCACACAAAGGGAAACTCACCTGTACTGGCTGAACTTGCTGATGATCTCACTAGCTGCTGCCCGGCGACTCTCTGTACTCCTGCTCTGCTTGCTCCCGGAACTACCAATATCAATGCAACACTGAGTCTAACTGACCCCCGGGAGACAACCAAGTCAACTCTGGTCAAAGTCAAAGTCAATCGTTCCAGGTCAACCCTACTCACCGAGTTCATCTGTTCAGAGTCCTTCCATTCGCATCTCGACTCGCCAAGGCAGTCCATGACTCGCCGAGTCTACTGATTTTCGAGTCCTGACCTGTCCAACTACCGAGTCTCCACTCGACTCACTAATTCAAGTCTCAATTCGAAGGGTTTGGGGTTTCACGACCTGACTCACCAAGTCCAAGAGCAGACTCGCCGAGTACAAGGAAATCTTCATCTGACTCGACAAGCTGTTCATCCCATTCGTCGAGTTGCTCCTAATCTTCATGCTACTCGCCGAGTCCACTCAAAGGAATCAACGAGTCCATTCAGATCTCCTTACATGCAGAGGACTTTTAAGTCATGCATGGACTCCAAACTGTAGATCTACCCTTCCCAAGCCTATTCCTCACGTAAAGTTGCAAACTTTACGTGTAGAGAAGGAGATCTAGGCAAAATACACCATAAACTAGGGTTTAGGGCAAAGAGGCTCCATAATCAACTCAAGGGCAGATACTTTATGCTTCTCAAGACCATAATATGCTTAGATCCAAAGTAGCAACTTCAGATCTGGCTTTTAACTCAAATGGATACCATTATGGCTAAAAAGCCCCAACACCCACACATAGATCTAGGTGCAAAAGAGTCCAAGAAATAGTTTATTACCTCCAAATGCTCAGAAATATCTTCCCAATCCCAGATCTATAGCCCCTTCTTGCACCTCCAAGATCCTTCTTCCTTCTCCAAGCTTTAATGCACTCTTCAAGGCAACAATTGGCTCAAACAATGGATATAGCGGCTAGGGTTTGGTGTTCTGGGTTAGAGAGGCAGTAAAGGAACCCTAGGGAAGAGAATGAGGCGCTTAAATAGGCTCCAAGTCCCGAATTTAGTGTTTTCCTCACACAGACCAGACTCACCGAGTCCCCTTGGCCGACTCGCCGAGTCGGTCACTTACTCCTCGACCCGGATCCCGCTCGGAATTGCTGAGTTCCTCCTTGGACTCTCCGAGTCGCCGCTTTAAATTAGGGTTTTCTTTCCTTTCTTGGCCTTCCAGACTTGGGTGTTACATTAAAGGTAACAATATAATCATTTATATAGAGTTATTTTTAACTATTGTTATTATAAGTTATTTTAAACTACTTATTTGTAATTTTTTAACGATTATATAAATATATTTATGAAATATTTTAGTTAAACTAATATTACAATTTAGTTTTTGCATTTATCACTATAATTTATCAATTTTAACTATTTACAAAATATTATTTGGTTTTTTTAGTGGAACTTAAATTTATATTTAAATTAACAATTTAAGTATTTTGTCCAAACTAGTCAAAAATTGTAGCTTTAAACTGATAATAGTTTACATGCAATAACATTTTAAATTTAATAAATTAAGTATAATATGTTAAAATTGAAAGACATAACTTTATAAATAGAAATAAAGATATTATTTTAAAATTAAAATTTGGTCTATTTATGATTACACTTTAAGTTTGATATTTATTTAACCTTATTAACCAACTTACAATCATTATTAGAAAGTCACTACAATTTATCACTTTTAACTATTTATAAAATAATTTTTGGGTTGTTTAAGTTAAATAAAATTTATATTTAAGTTGAGCCTATAATGTTATATTTTAATTAATAATTTAAGTATTTTATATGAATTGTTCAAAAATTATACATTTAAAATGATAATGGTTTACATCCAACAATATATTAAACTAATAAATTAAGTATAATATGTTAAAAGTTAAAAAACATAAATTTTTAATTAGAATTAAAGATATTATTTTAATATTGAAATTTAGTTTATACATGAATACACTTTAGATTTGATATTTATTTAACCTAATTACCAAATTATAATTATTATTAGAGAAAACTTCAAAAATGGTCCCTGTGGTTTCCAGAAATATCAAGTTTAGTCTCTAAGTTCAAAAAACCTCACAGATGGTCCCTGTGGTTTCAAAACTTTTAACAAATGGTCCTTCCGGCTCACTCCGTTAGCATTTCACTGTTAACTCATTTTTTAATAAAATATTGCAGGGGTAATTTCGTCATTTCAGTTGTAACCTTCTCTCTTTAATATGAAATGATTACTTGCTTGCACATCACTACCCGTCCCTCTTCCAAGAAGATAACCAGTTACTGGTTTTGTCATCCGGTTCATTCCCATCGCAGAAACATGAACATAAATTTGGGATTTAGGGTTTTAAGCTGCAGAAATTGCAATGGTGCTATCAATATGGTGTGTTCGAGAAAAATTTGTAACCGTTGAGGACTTAGGAAAAAGATACGGTACAATACTACAACAAAACTTGTTTTTTCTTGGTCTATTGTGTTGACGTAAGGAAATCATTGGTTTTACTCTTTTTTTTTGTGTTTACAGAAGGTTGTGACAACTATTTCACGTTGAAGATACACTACAGTGGTGTCTTCACCAAAGCACCTGGAAGGAAATACGTTGATGGTGTTGTAGCATATGTAGATGATGTTGACACTGATTTATTTTCAGTTCATGAGCTTGACGACATGGTTCGAGAACTAGGGTACAAAAATGAGCAAACCCTTTACTACCATTTCTATATCCCTGAATACCCTTTGGACTATGGCTTAATGCCTTTAGGTAATGATCAAGATGTACTTAAAATGGTATCATATGTCCCTAAACACAGACTTATCAGGGTGTATATTGAAACTGGTCAGACAAGGGTAGCTACTTATTACAAGTCTCCTTCTAAAGTTGTTATTGAAGTGTTGGAGCCTGATAGTGTGTCACCTGAAATGAATAGAAAGAAACCTTGTAGGAGAGAAGCAGGATCATGTAGTAAAAAGCTTGATCTAAACAAGTCTATGAACCCTGATTATGAGCAGTCTCAAGTGTTAGATGTTGATGAAGGCCAACATTACTCAAAGAGTATTGTACCATTTATAAGGTCACAAGGCAAACAAAGTCATGTCATTCAAAAGGAAGCGGTGAATCATGAAATTGAAACTCAAGAAAAAGTGATCACTAGTGCAGTTGAAACTGAAGAACCATTGGGAACTTACCATGTATAGGAACCAAGCTGCCAAGCTGATGATGGACCTAATACTGCAACAGTTGATGATTATGAACCATTTATAGAGGATTACTCACTTTATGCTGATTATGATGCTGAGTTTAATGTTGAAACTTCATTTGAAAAACAACCAGAAGTGGATTATCTAGAGGGTATGGTGAGTGATGATAGTGGAGAAGCTTTCTACTCTGAGAGAGGCCATGGTTATGAGGATAGTGGAGATGATTCTGATGACAGTGAATACAATGTGGATGAGTCTAACATACAATTTGATGTAGATGTAGACATGAGTGAATTCCATAATGCTGTTGATGTAGATGAACATGGAATCTTGAACAATCATTCAAAAGATGAAGGGATTGACATGGTTGATAATGAGTTGGAAGTTATTGCCACTGATGATTATCAATTTGCAGGATTTCATGAAGATGATAGGAAGAGACTGCTAAAAGAGTTGAGTAAGTCAAGTACATGCTCACATGGATAGGTTCATGTTAAACCATTTCAGATTGGCCAGGTCTTCAAAACCAAGATTGATGTTAAAAACTACATGAACTCACATGCTGTAGCAACAAGGAGATCTTTATACCTAGCCAAAAATGACAAAATCTGGATTAGGGTGAAATGTAAAGGTCTTGTAAGTAAGCCTTCTACAGGAGTTGATGGTGGTGGGCCCTCAACTAGAAGTAGGGAAAAGTGCAAGGGTAAAGTTGTAATTGCCAATAAAGGTACATGTCCATGGGCAGTCCAAATATCGAGGGCTAATGAAAATCAGGATTGGTTGGTGAAAACAGTACAGGATGAGCATAAATGTTTGCAAACAAGGGCGGTTAAAGCTTGCACTTCCAGATACGTAGCAAACTTAATTGTTCAACAAATACAGAGTAACCCTAAAATTCCAGTGAAAGCTTTACACGAAGAGTTGTGGAAGAAACTGGAGGTAGGAATGTCATTGCAAAAGGTTGCTAAGGCAAAGTCAATGGTTGAGCGTATCATTAGTGGGGACTACCAAGTACAGTATGGATTTTTGAGGGATTATGTGTTGGAGCTACTCAACACTAATCCTGGTACAACAGTTCGGATTGATGTGTATCCAGAAACCTCCCTGTCTGTTACCACAAGAACTTTTAGAAGAATATATGTCTGTTTAGGTGCATTGAAGTTAGGATTCAAATCTGGATTAAGAGGTTTTCTAGGTCTAGATGGTACTTTCATGAAGGGCCCTTACCCTGGCAAGTGTTAACTGCTGTAGGGTTAGACTCAAACAATGGCATATACCCTGTAGCATATGCAGTGGTAGAGACAGAATCAACAAGTAATTGGACCTGGTTCTTGGAACTGTTAGGAGAAGATTTGGATTTGGGACCAAATTCAAACTTTACCTTCATTTCAGATAGACAAAAAGTGTGTACCAGCTAACTTTTTTTATTTCCTTTTCTAAATACATTTGGTTAACTAATGTTGCATACATTGACTTTTGTTTAGGGAATAATACCAGCAATGGAGAAGGTATTCCCTAGTGCAGAACACAGGTTCTGTTTGAGGCATATCCAGGAAAACATGAAGAAACAATGGAAAGGAAAAGACTTAAGTGACCAGCTTTGGGAGTGTGGTAGAGCAACAACAGTCAATCATTTTAACAGAGCAATGGATGAGTTGAAGAAGATCAATGCAGAGGCTCATGCTTGGGTGTCTAAGATCCCATCAAACACTTGGGCTAAATCTCACTTTAGTGGTAAGTTTCTAGAAATTTATTGAGAAATGTTAATCTTCCCTGTTGTGTGTTTACTATATGAGTAATTGTCTTATGTTAATATCTATTATTCAGGAAGGGCACATACTGATTGTTTGTTGAATAACCTTTGTGAGGTATTCAATTCTAAGCTGTATGAAGGTGGGGATAAACCTATTATCACTTGCTTAGAGTATATTAGAGAGTATCTCATGAAGAGGTTATGTGTGGTGCAAAAGGAAATAGATAAGTGTGAAGGACTTCTAACCCCTACTGCAACTACATTTTTGAAAAGATTAAGGCTGATGCATCAAAGTATGTGGCTAAATACAATGGGGTAGGGAAGTATCAAGTGGCAAGCACATGGAAAGACCAATATGTGGTAAACTTGAATGATCAAAGTTGCAGTTGTAGGTTTTGGGAGATTACAGGTTTCCCATGTAGACATGCTGTTTGTGCTATATGGGACAAAATTGAAAATGGTGAAAATGCCCCACATGTTGATGAATGGGTCCATCCTTGCTATAGGTTATCAACATGGAAAGCCATGTATTTCAACAAAATTGATCCATTGAATGGACGTACAATGTGGCATAAAAGTGACTGCCCATTCACTTTACTTCCACCAAAACATAAGACACAGGTTTGTATTTAAAGTAAACCAAAAATATAGTATACATGTAAACATGGAATAAAATCAATTTTAACTATAGTATATCAACATGTGTAGGTTGGGAGGCCTAAGAAGAAGAGAAGGAGGGGTGTTGATGAGCCAAACAGTCAAGCTGGTAGATTGAGTAGGAAATATTTGGCAGTCACTTGTTCAAAGTGTCATAAAAAAGGGCACAATTCCAGAACATGTAAAGGGCAGGGAGGCAGTGGTGAAGTTGGAGGGGGCTGAAACTTAGTGGTTATTAGGATGATGGTGTTGTAGGTATTTAGAAACTTATGTCATGTGTACTTGTTTGAAGATGTGTTAAGAACTTGAAAACTTTGGATGTAATGCTTGTGTTGTAGGTGTTTTGAAAACTTTGCTTCATGGTTGTGTTAAGAACTTTATAACTTTGAATGTAATGGTGTGTATGCACTTTTTGGTGATGAATTAATATGTTTTGTGTACTACCCTTCACAGATCAATTAATAACATTGTACATTTCAATTGCAAATGAAAACCATCTTCAAGATGCATTTACAATACACTTAAGAATTGAATTTCAAAAACATTCAAGAAATTGAACAATGAACTATAACAAACTACATTCCATTACCATTACCATTACCACTGCATTACACATTAATCTAATACATACACCAAATACAACAACACCAATTCTAAAACCACCTACATAAACTGAAAGCAAAAAAACCCTCTCCGATTAAAAAAAAAACTCCATTACCATCCAAACCTTCACAAGATACTTAGAGTTTAAAATAATACCAAAAAAAACACCCATGAACAAAACAACATTAGTTGGTAGTTCCACAATTTTGCAGTTACAATGGCGACCCTCTCTTCCAATCGATTCTTTGATCTTATCAAACCTGGAATCACCACCAAAGCCCTACCACACATAGGAGGATCTGACCATCGAATGAAACCACATCTTCTACAGTTCCAAAATTGTCTTCCAGGGTTACGATCCGTCTATGAAGTGATCTTCGTTGCTTCATTTCCACATCTGCAAGTTACCATCTTTGAATCAGAAGCGATTGGATGTCGTGAAGGGTGCAACGGTCGAGCAACAGTGGAAAGGAGGAGAGATGATCGACTGATGAAGCTAAAGGATTTTCCCAAAAATCGAACATGCAATTTCTTTTAAAGAGAGAAGGTTACAACTGAAATGACGAAATTACCCCTGCAATATTTTATTAAAAAATGAGTTAACGGTGAAATGCTAACGGAGTGAGCCGGAAGGACCATTTGTTAAAAGTTTTGAAACCACAGGGACCATCTGTGAGGTTTTTTGAACTTAGGGACTAAACTTGATATTTCTGGAAACCACAGGGACCATTTTTGAAGTTTTCTCTTATTATTATAAAGAAATTGAAAAGTCATGGGAGTTACAAATGAATGTGGTGAAAGGAAAAAAGAATGGGGGTTTCAAATGCATGAGATTCAACAAAAAATGCTAGCTTTATAAGTATGTATGATAGTTATTATTTTAGTTTATAACCGTAAGAAATATAGTTATAAAATTAATTAAAACTTTATATTAAAAAATCAAAATTATTATTCAATTATTTTAAATAAATTATGACTTAAGAGACTTTTTTAGTTATATAAAATTCTAGCCGTTGATTTAAGTAAATACGTGAAGTTATATCAACTTATAATTTGTATTAAGTTAATTTAAAATTTTAATCTAATGTTATTAATTTAATATTTTAATGAGAAAATTTAAAATTTGAAATTTAAAATAGAGAATCAATAACTAATTTAATGTAATTAAAGAGATAAATTTAAAATGGATAATTAATATGTTGATAAGTGGCATGATAAGTGACATATAATATTAACTAGTTGTGAGACATATTTATTATATGAGTTATTTAATAAGAAAAAGTTAAATATAAATATCAAAATATTTAAGAACTTTGAATTTATAAGAAAATAAGAAAAAATAATGAATTATTATAATGAAAATGTTTTTTATCTTTTAAATTTAAACAAATAATTTAAATAAATAAAAAACTAATGAGCTTTAATTTTAGGAATTTTAAAATTAAAATGTAAGTTCATTAATGAAAATGATATTCACTTATTACTACATTTATTACTATTATTACACTAAAATATTATATGGAATCTAACAAAACTGAAAAACTCATAAAACGACATGTGGAAAAAAAAATTAATTTAAAATAACCACAAATGATATTTGACAAATTGAATGAGTATGACAAGTGGCAAAAAACCTTCATTTATTAGGGAGGATGATGATTTTTAATAGTATAAAACTTGTCAATAGAAAAATAAACATATTCTTTTATTAGAATAAGGTGATACCATGCTAGAAAACTAACAAAAATTACAAAGGAATAGCCAACAAATGCTTTTTAGCCAATCAACACAGTTGAGTCTTAGCTTAAGGTTCTAGACTCAAACCATTGAAAGGAAAACTAATAGATCATCTCACGTAAGGAACCATTTCTAAAACTATTGGAGTTAAGACTTCATTGGAGATTGAAATTTTGAACCTTTGGGAGTGTTTGTTGGTGATTTTAGTATCACTATGTCATTTTAAGTAACTGGAACCAACATGTGAGCTAAGGGGCTTCATGAGTTGTACTCTAATATATGTATGGGATTGTGCGGAGTGCATGTATGTATAAGATCGAATCAGAAGCTGGTTCGATGACTAGTCGGGGGTCCGGAGGCAGCTTCACCGGGTCCGGGGTTTCCAAAGGGGCAGCGCCCCTAACGAGGCCCAAGGAGCAGAGCCCCTGGTTGGGGGTTTGGGGCAGCGCCCCAAAGCCTCACCGATTTTACATATGGGAACATAATGGAAAATTCAATTTCTTGAGGGTGATTATGATAAAACTAACGAAACTCGTTAGTTTTTGGTAACCCTAAATCCTCATTAAATCCAGATTAACATTACTTGCTTCCAAAGCAACTAATGATGACCCAACCCTAATGAAACCCTAATCGTGTTTAATATATAAACAACTATTCCTCTACATAAGAGGGTTACGATCTTAAGCTCTCGTTTTCATCAGACTTTCACAGAATCCTCTAGCATATTGGCTTACGTCTTCTGTGCCTAGAAACGTAAGTGTCCACTTGGATTATCGTATGCTGAATTTCTTATAACCCAGACATAGGGTAGAAATATCAGTTCAGAAAGTGATATCACGATCCAAGTTGGTATCTATCTCCACAAACCCTAATTTCCCAACAGTGTTGGGATCCTTGGATTTTATTACTTGTTCGTTGAAGAAAATAAATTTAAAGATTGTTCAAAATTTTCAAGAATTTAATAGTTTTCGACATTTTCAAGATTTTAATACCGAAAATGTATTTTTCAAGCATAATTGTACCAAAATGTATTTTGGTTGAAAGACATTTATACCATATGAAATTTGGTTTGAAGTTTTTACCTCTTTAATATATCATCTCTAATTTTGGATAGAGCCTTATTTGAGTAATGTTTTTTTGAGCGATAAATCTACTCCTAAACTACACTTTAATTCATCTATGTTCACAATTATTTTTTTGAACGACAAATTTAATTTACTTATAAACCACTCCTTAATTTCACTTATGTTCACAACAAGACTTGAACCTTGACCTTAAGAAGAAGGATAATATTTGATATCACTAGGCTAGAAGCCCTTTGGTTCTTATTTGAGTAATGTACTGATTTTACTTTGCACGTGCATTCAAGAGCATGCTAGATGTCTTTATTTAATTCATTCATCTTCATTCTCTCCTCTCTTGTTGGAGTTTTATCAACAATGTAACCATTCAATAAGTAACGGTCATTTCATAGTAGTTACCATTAATGAAATTGTTTTGAAGTCTAACCCTTTTCTCATATTTAACTTCCAAAATTGTGTGTATAATCGCACTTTGGAGCATTGTTGTCAAAATCGCGATCCTGATCGTAGGATCGTACGATCCTACGATCCTATGCATGAAAAACGATCTGAATCGTAAAAGGATCGTATTTGGGGTAGGATCACAGGTAGGATCGTAAGATCGCAGGTATGATCGTAGGATCGAGATATGATCCGATCCTACCTTCCTTTGATTTTTTTTTCAAATGATTTTTTTTTACCACTTTATGTCTTTTACCCTTTACCAATTTACCATCTATCATTTTTTATTATGACTTATGACTAATATTTCGAAGTTTTTATAACTTTTGAATGAAAAATTAAATGTTTGAAATATTTTTCATAATTAAATATTATAAATTAAAATTATATTTTATTTTGTGGGATCTTAGGATGTCGATCCCGATCTTACGATTTCGATCTTGCAAACCCAAAAACGATCCTAGGTAGGATCCCGATCTTGACAACCTTGCTTTGGAGCTTTCATCCTATCTTAACAATATTAGAATAAAGTTATACTTTTCTTTCTCTTTAACAAATTTCCTGGTTATTTTGATTTCCAAAAATAGTTTTAATACAAGAGCATTATTCCCATGCACTCTTTTGGTGAGAATGGATAGACTTTTGTGAAACCAATAATGTTTCTTTCTCATGCACTCTTTTGGTGAGAATGGATAGACTTTTATGAAACCAATAATGTTTCTTTCTCTTGAACAAATTTCATGGTTATACGATGTATATTTTGACAAATTGTCTACATATGCAGAGTGACAACATGATTGTTACCTGAAAAGTTGTAAAACAATAACCGAAAGATAATGATAGATGCATCTGTATAGTTTTTTCATCATAAATGATGTTAATATAGTCAAACCCATTACAATATAAAAAGTAGAATATATCGTTATGATATGGGATCGTGGTTTACTTTTATGGTTCTTTGATTTTACCATTTGGTAAAGTTTATGTGTACTAGACTAGCTAGCCGAAACTGTTGATATAAAGTGAAAGAGTTTCTTAAGATACATGTTACAAAAATATAAGTTTCCTCCTTCCTAAATAATACAATTTCTCGAGCAATCACGATTTGTAATTATTTATATTGCTTTTTTTTTTTTTTCTCGAATTAAAAAAAAAATCTAAAATAAAGTCTTGCATTCTTTTATTTTTTTTTCGAACGGACCATTTTAACAGTTAAATTTTTTTTTCGAAAAAACTTGTAAAATGTAAGTTTTTTCTAGAAATAATTAATAAATTTAGGGTCTTTCCAAAAAAAATGAAAAAAATGCAAAAAAAAAAAAGATAAGTTGAAGTTTGATAAAAAAAAAAAACCAGCATATAAAGTTTTTTTATAATTTTTTTTATAATTTGATAAATGTAAAAATCTCAACAGATAATATACTGAACTTCTTTTTTCTCTCTAAGAGCTATTACATGTAATTACCGTTTTGTTTAGGTATACAATTAAGTAAATTAACGATATAAAAAGTTAAAGTATCATATATATTTTTTTTTATTAGAGAAGGTGGTAGGAGGTTGTGAAACTCTGGCCACATTATTATAAAGATACGCAAATATCCAAATTCAATTAATTAATATTTTGTTTGTGGAACGGGAAGAAAGTTTTTTGATATGTATAAATGACTTATGGGGAGGTCCATTACGTGAGAATTATTAGGAACTTTCCTTTTGCCGCCCGTTAGCGTCTTCTTTCGGTAAAAACAAACTATTAAGTATTAACTGTAAATTCTATCTAAAATAATTCCTTAATTTGAAAAACATTTTTAAGAGAATTACTTTATTTACATAACATGAATAATTTTGTTTATTTGTCAGAAATTATTTGACCAAAGTATTTACTTCAAGGTATAAGACATTCTAAGATCAATATCGTAAAAACATAATGAAAACAATACATCTACCACAATAACTAAATTATTTTACATAATTTATTATTTATTTAAAATATTAATTATACGTTTGAACTTCAACTTTTAGATGATCATAGGTCAAAGTTTCCAAATAAAAAAACTAGTATAAGAAAACTTTATTTCATAATCTATATAATATGCTTATAAACATAAAAAATAATAAGTGTAAAATCTAAATTATTATTCTACGAGGTGTGAGACTCATATATTATATAAGTTTATTTAAAAAAAATTAAATATGAAATTTCAAAAATTTGAGAATTTGAATTTACTAGAAAAATAAGAAAAAAATTTGAATTATTAAAATTAATGAGGCTTTAATACATTGT